AAGCCACGTGCTTTGATGTTATACATGTGATTGATAACTAAGTGATTATGAAACGTGTCCCTACATCAAAGAACACTGGCCTGATTATCACTACATTTGTCAGATCAATTTCCGGTGACACCAGTGTCGGAATCAATAGACATGTTGTATATCAATAAATCGTGATGTGTCTATCTCCGACTCCAACCCGGCTCCGGTTATTATGTTATATCACCAGGAGAATGTCAGAGATCGTACATAAATCAAGGGTTGGTCTTCAATAACCCTAAATTGTGAAAAAGGTCCTAAAAGCCCGTGAAGTTAACAAAAAATTAGCCTTTCATTTGCGTAAATGAGAATTTAATCATGGTTTTATATTGGTTTTGATGGTTTTGTGTTATTCTTCACTCTCTTTATTATAAGCCTTGCATTTCATAATAAAATATATGTACGAACCCTGGAGATGCGTTATTACAAAGTTGATACCATGCAATGTGAACTAGGTTACTGTGTTTATCTATCTACTGTAGGTATGACTTGTTATTGTATCTATAGCCCGATATCTACACGCACATAAACGAGATAAGCGTGGCCGTCAGTGAAGCACACCAAGATAAAACATTGACGGATACATCGTGTGTAACCTAAATACCATAAAAAGGGCTTAATATACAGCCTGGTGATCACGACCATGGCGCATGTCAATATGGATGGTCGAGTGGCGCAGCGGATAGCGCACATGCCTTTCACCAAGGCGACCGGGGTTCGATCCCCGATCGGACGTTAAAGGCATGGGGGTCACCTTCCCGACCATATGGGTTTTTATCCTGGTACTGCGGTTTCCTTCCATATTTAGACTCCCCGCGCTCTAATATCCAACAAGATTGAATAATTTGTTTCATAATTGTTGTAAAAAAAGAAAGTTTATAATAGTATGTCAAGGAGTTTAATATATTTAGACAAGCCCAACCCTCTAAGTGACAATGAAATAACTTGTGATGACCGTCAGAGAATAGCACCGGCGGGAAATAACGATCATTGTGGAAAGTCGGGAAATAGTACAAGTAACACGACGATATCAGGAAAGCAAACGCCGTCGATAGGGGAGTATAGGGAATATAGACAAGAATGGAAAATACACAGAGAAGGCTTCAATGGTCAGACCTCTATCAGCCGGAACTACGCCGAATTAAATTTTCATTCATATAAATATGTGACCTTCTACCAACATAGACTAGCTCCAAGGATACAATCCCTAAAGTTCTCTATCAAACATACTGTCAGCGTGTCAGTTTGCCCTCAAACGTACTAAAACAGGGATAAGGTCCTAGAGGAGTGTGCAAATACAGCGAAAATAAAGAAACACTAACAAGGTACCAACCAAACTAATGTCGAACATCTTCGTTATGAGAACGGAAGAAATTGGAACGGCATCGGAACACCTGGAAATTGTATATAAGATCACTGGCAAATGTTGTTGGATAGTCTGTTCTGGTTGCCGCAGAGGAGGAAAGTGGTGTGATGTACTGAACTGTTCCGTGAGAGGAGGAGATTATACCCAAAACGACAATACCAAAATCTTGAAGGGCATATAATGACACTAGTTCGGAATATTTGGGGCCTACCGTTAGAGATAAAGTGCAGATGTTTCATTGAACAGTCACTATTTTTAAGCTCTTTGTTCTTGGGATCAAGAGACGATATACAGCATTGTAGTGACCCTCTACGCCTCAAGGGTTTCTTTTTGAAGACATTTTTACCGTAATAGTAGATGATTTCGATTTCTTAGGTAAAGAGCCCATTTTCAATATGGTGTTGCCAACATTAATGGCTACAACGTACATTTTGTATCTGGGTTTTTGCTGAAAAATATTTCCGAGGTTACGCCGTGGATCCATGAGGTATCGGGTAATTTACCTCTGTTCAGCTTTTTGATTGCATCAATGACAATCCTCGATGTTACCAGAATTTCAAAGCTTTTCTCATGAATGTCAATGATACAGTTCAGTTTTACTGTCTCCCTTCTTTCTAAATAATTCTAATATCATAATGCACAGAAATGGGTAATTTTTCTCGTTATCTATAAAGATGTCATTTTAAGTTAGATATGGTATGTGCAGTTTTCCTCAACTCCTTAATGATTTGATGTGAAAGCTCACCGTCAAATGCCTTGGCTTCCGTCAGCTTTTGTATCCTTTCAGTCCATATTCCAGTTGGTTCTGTTCTAATTGCCCTACGTAATATTTTGTTTGGGTCTTTTTCCCCCATCAACATATGTTTACCTTATCTTTTTCCATTCAAAAAACGCTGCTTCACTGATCTTTAAACAATGTTCCCAGCCTCGCTCAGGAATCTCATTTTGGGTGTTCTGCTATTTCGGTTTAGTTTTGTCTGTTTTTGTTTTCTGTCCATTTAACAGCTATGGTCATTTAAGGACATGCCAGATTCTGGTGGTTGAGGAAAACTTGAGTGCCCTGAGAAAAGCCACGGACCCACGGACAGTAATTTCCGACTGCCCCACGTAGGCATCAAACCCGCGACTTAGTGGTAAGGGAATAGTGGTCGCAAACGGTCAGACGCTTAAACCACTCGTTCTTCTCTCATCATGGGTGTTTTCCTCTTTCTCGGATTTACCTGTATAGGTGCTATGATACGTGGAAATGGCCGCCTTCTCAGTATCATATGCTGTAATCAAACGTTAAGATTTTCCTTACCTATTTCCTCATTGAATAAACATTAAAGGTCTACATGTGTATATTTTTCCAGTTTGTTCTTTTATTGCTGAGGAGAGGACGGAGATCTATGGTTTCAGATCACTTAGCAGTTTTATTAAATAGTATATTGATGACCTTCCCGGATAGATCCAGTTTTTTGTCCACTCTGTATATATATTATAACTAACTATTGTTAGAAAAACGTCGATTGTGGATAAAGTCTTGTCATTTAGATGTACAGAAGTTGACCCAAACAATGTTGCATGTAGTTCCCACTCGTCAACGGCAAGTTCGAATTCTGTCCCTTTTTTCTAGTAATCATCTCCGGTAATTATCGGATACGTCATTATACACTTATTGCCCTGGTGTGAGGGAGACCTGAAGAGTTGTATCCCCGAGATAAATTATGTGTCCCGAGGGCGAATGCAATGCAACGATCCCCTTTGTTGTCACTGACCTGTTCGCCCTTATTTCACTAGGTCTTAATACTTAAGGTTCTCAGTTCCTGTATTTATATCCTTGATCTCTGTTGTTGCTCTTTGGTATTGATGTACACATATGACGTCATTTCCCCCGTACTGTCCCTACTCCTCCCCATCTCTGGGAATATGAGCTATTCAAACTGGTACAAATGTGTCGATCGATCTACCTGTCACGCGATCACGTACCTTCGAATGAGTTTTATATAAATCACAGTTAAATAGTCAGTATTTCGAAGATATCGGCTTCAATCCCGAAAAGCTTTTAATTCTAACGGTTTTTTGAGATTGAATGAGGCTCTGTACACTTGAATGGCATGCAATTGTAAAAACAATAATGCGGAAGGGGGTGGGGGGGTCTGCTGTAAAACTGTGGCTGTCTGTTCGTTGGAGGGAGTAAATGCTATACCACTGTATGTGAGGCAACGCGATGTGGAATCGTCTTTCGCGTCAGCGTTTGTAAAATTTTACATGCATTTCCACAGCCGCTACATGTATCAAACTCACTGTTGTTGTCTGATGCGTTTTAATTGTACTTTGTTTAGTCGCCAACAAATGTTCGTCTTTACAAGATGCTGATTTTTTTTCAGCATATGCTGCTATGTACAGATTGGTATACTGTGTCTAACACACAGCAAGTATGTGTATCAATAAAATGGTTTGATTACGTGACCGTTTGTCTCCATGAATCATCTGTAGAGTTTGTTAACGTCCATAGATTGCAATAGTTGATCAACCTTTTTAACATAAATTTTCTGTCTCTCCTGTTCTTAACTAGGTAAAGGACAACAAATTAATAACGAGGATTTAAACAAAACCGTGATTCGAACTGAAATTCGATGAAAACTAGAACGAAATATAAACAGATTTACCCTTGAAAAAGTTCAAGGGGTTCCGAAAGGGGTTATCGTTGTTCCGAAAGGGGTTATCGTCTTCTATTTCATCGACGATGCGTACACCGGCCGTGAAATTTCTAGGGAAAAAAAAAGTAAGTTCGCGTTCTCAAAGTGAGAACCGGTGTTCTGACAACAGAAACACAAGGATAACAGCAACGTGTCGACCTACAGACATGTATCTTATAAGGAAGTAGAATTATTTCAAATGAAATTACGATGTTGACTGTGAAGCTTGCTCACATCCTTCATCAACCTGCATCTCCCGAAATAACTATACCACGAATACATGTATGTACCACGGTAATTGTGATATTTGGAGCAATGTGCTTTAAAATCGAAACAACTATGACAAATGAATACCGTAGGTGGTAGAAGCAAGGTTGTATCAAGAAAGGGAACATTTGCGATCAGAAAATCATCTGGCAGTGTTAAAGTAAACCATTCGTGTTGGTCATGTTGTAGGTGAAGATCGGGCTAGTGGCTATGTATTTCTGGAGTTATCTTGATGCCAGGAAGGTTTATACAGATGCACGACCGAAATGGTCGATAATTTATATGGTTGTGTATAGACAATTTATTGGTAATATTCCTGAAAGGGATAATTGAAGGCAAGGTAAGTGTTAACTGTCCTGATATAATCTTTTATAGTTCAGTCGCATAAAAACTAAGAAGAAAATAAAGAAAAGTTGGCTAAAAGAGTGGGAAAATGTTTGCTCTTCTTGCTACCGAAATCAACAAATAAATATATCGTTAACCATGATTTTAAAATGCTTATTATTATATTTGTAAAAACAAAGCCCACCATAACACCACTTCACTAATCAGTGATAATCATGTGATGATTATCAGTAACCATCTTATGATAACCACATGTCCCAGCTTGTGTTATACTTGTGACTGATATGAATATCTCGTGCTGACCGGTTACAGTTCAGGTATACTATGATTAAGTGCACTTACTCGAGTCATTACACCTAAGGATGGCAGAGTCATCGGGTGTACTGGCGCTAGCAACTCTGCTGACCACCCTCGCCCTGGGGGCGGGGGCTGGGTTTAGGTGTAACCCCCCGTCTACCACCACTGAGACAATTTATGACTATGTGCTCCCAGACATCCTGGGGCAGCGAAATATCAGTCTATCTGCCTACAAGGGTAAGGTAGTCAACATCATGAATGTGGCCACCTACTGAGGGTTAAATAGTATCCATTACCTTGGCGTGAATGCACTTCAAAGCCAGTATGGAAAAATGGGTTTCCAGGCCCTGGGATTCCCTTGTGACCAGTTCCACAATGTACGTATAATACATCACAAATATCAGTAGGGCCTCTTACTTATGACGGGGTTATTGGTGTAGCGTATAACTCCATTATTGCAATGTATGTTGGATTGTTTAAAAACTTTTTTGATTGTTGTGATATGTGATAAGATTGTTGTGTGGTATGATTGTATTGTTTTAGGATATCATTGTATTGTTTTAGGGTATCATTGGATTGTTGTATGGTATAATTATATTGTTGTATGGTACATGGATGATTAGACTGTTGTATGTATGATTGTAATGTTGTAGGGTATGATTGGATTGTTGTAGGGTTTGTTGGGATTGCTGAATGGTACATGTATGATCAGACTGTTGTAAGGTTAGATCGGATTGTTGTAAGGTTAGATCGGATTGTTGTATGGTTAGATCGGATTGATGTAAGGTTAGATCGGATTGTTGTATGGTTAGATCGGATTGATGTAAGGTTAGATCGGATTGTTGTATGGTTAGATCGGATTGTTGTAAGGTTAGATCGGATTGTTGTATGGTTAGATCGGATTGATGTAAGGTTAGATCGGATTGTTGTATGGTTAGATCGGATTGATGTAAGGTTAGATCGGATTGTTGTATGGTTAGATCGGATTGTTGTAAGGTTAGATCGGATTGTTGTATGGTTAGATCGGATTGATGTAAGGTTAGATCGGATTGTTGTATGGTTAGATCGGATTGATGTAAGGTTAGATCGGATTGTTGTATGGTTAGATCGGATTGTTGTAAGGTTAGATCGGATTGTTTTATGGTTAGGTCGGATTGTTGTATGGTTAGATCGGATTGTTGTATGTATCATTGTAATGTTGTAGGGAATGATTGGATTGTTGTAGGTATAATTAGATTGTTGAATGGTGCATGTATGATCAGACTGTTGTAAGGTTAGATCGGATTGTTGTATGGTTAGATCGGTTCGATGTAAGGTTAGATCGGATTGTTGTATGGTTAGATCGGATTGATGTAAGGTTAGCTCGGATTGTTGTAAGGTTAGATCGGATTGCTGTATGGCTAGATCGGATTGATGTATGATTAGATCGGATTGTTGTATGGTTAGATCGGATTGTTGTAAGGTTAGATCGGATTGTTGTATGGTTAGATCGGATTGTTGTATGGTTAGATCGGATTGTTGTAAGGTTAGATCGGATTGTTGTATGGTTAGATTGGATTGATGTAAGGTTAGATCGGATTGTTGTATGGTTAGATCGGATTGATGTAAGGTTAGATCGGATTGCTGTATGTATAATTGTAATGTTGTAGGGAATGGTTGCATTGTTATAGGTATAATTAGATTGTTGAATGGTGCATGTATGATCAGACTGTTGTAAGGTTAGATCGGATTGTTGTATGGTTAGATCGGATTGATGTAAGGTTAGATCGGATTGTTGTATGGTTAGATCGGATTGATGTAAGGTTAGATCGGATTGTTGTATGGTTAGATCGGATTGATGTAAGGTTAGATCGGATTGTTGTATGGTTAGATCGGATTGATGTAAGGTTAGATCGGATTGTTGTATGGTTAGATCGGATTGATGTAAGGTTAGATCGGATTGTTGTATGGTTAGATCGGATTGATGTAAGGTTAGATCGGATTGTTGTATGGTTAGATCGGATTGATGTAAGGTTAGATCGGATTGTTGTATGGTTAGATCGGATTGATGTAAGGTTAGATCGGATTGTTGTATGGTTAGATCGGATTGATGTAAGGTTAGATCGGATTGTTGTATGGTTAGATCGGATTGTTGTAAGGTTAGATCGGATTGGTGGAAGGTTAGATCGGATTGATGTAAGGTAAGATCGGATTGTTGTATGGTTAGATCGGATTGATCTAAGGTTAGATCGGATTGTTGTAAGGTTAGATCGGATTGTTGTAGGTTTGATTGTAATAATGAAAAGTCCTTTTTACACAACTAATACAATTTTCTATGTGACGTTTAGATGACTTGGAGGTTTACTTGTATTGTTGAATGGTACATGTATGTCAGTATGATTAGACTTTGTATTGTATGATTTACCTGTTGTAGGGTATTGTTGAATTGTTGTAAGGTTAGATCGGATTGTTGTAGGTTTGATTGTAATAATGAAAAGTCCTTTTTACACAACCGATACAATTTTCTATGTGGCGTTTAGATGACTAGTACGATATGTACACTGTCACCTTCATCAGACAAATGACCAGTGAAGCGTATGTACAATAGTGGTTATATATGTACCGAAATGACTGGATTCAGCTACGCTTTGTTCATCTATGACCAAGTACTAAACAAAGCGTAGCTGAATCGAGTCATTTCGGTACATATATAACAACTATTTTACATACGCGAACAGTGTAGCCGAAACCGATATCGATTTTGTGGACATCTCGTACACATTTTACACCTTAGTGTGCATGAAGGTGACAGTGTACATATCGTACTAGTCATCGAAACGTCACATAGAAAAATGTATTGGTTGTGTAAAAAGAACTTTTCACAATCCATACTTACCAACCTGAAGAAAATGTTTAGAAAGGTTTGATTGTAATGTTGTAGGGAATTGTTGGATACCTGAAGGGTATGACAGGATTTTGTAGGGTATTGTTATAGGGTATGATTGGATTGTTATAGGGTATGATTGGATTGTTATAGGGTATGATTGGATTGTTATAGGGTATGATTGGATTGTTATAGGGTATGATTGGATTGTTATAGGGTATGATTGGATTGTTATAGGGTATGATTGGATTGTTATAGGGTATGATTGGATTGTTATAGGGTATGATTGGATTGTTATAGGGTATGATTGGATTGTTATAGGGTATGATTGGATTGTTATAGGGTATGATTGGATTGTTATAGGGTATGATTGGATTGTTATAGGGTATGATTGGATTGTTATAGGGTATGATTGGATTGTTATAGGGTATGATTGGATTGTTATAGGGTATGATTGGATTGTTATAGGGTATGATTGGATTGTTATAGGGTATGATTGGATTGTTATAGGGTATGATTGGATTGTTATAGGGTATGATTGGATTGTTATAGGGTATGATTGGATTGTTATAGGGTATGATTGGATTGTTATAGGGTATGATTGGATTGTTATAGGGTATGATTGGATTGTTATAGGGTATGATTGGATTGTTATAGGGTATGATTGGATTGTTATAGGGTATGATTGGATTGTTATAGGGTATGATTGGATTGTTATAGGGTATGATTGGATTGTTATAGGGTATGATTGGATTGTTATAGGGTATGATTGGATTGTTATAGGGTATGATTGGATTGTTATAGGGTATGATTGGATTGTTATAGGGTATGATTGGATTGTTATAGGGTATGATTGGATTGTTATAGGGTATGATTGGATTGTTATAGGGTATGATTGGATTGTTATAGGGTATGATTGGATTGTTATAGGGTATGATTGGATTGTTATAGGGTATGATTGGATTGTTATAGGGTATGATTGGATTGTTATAGGGTATGATTGGATTGTTATAGGGTATGATTGGATTGTTATAGGGTATGATTGGATTGTTATAGGGTATGATTGGATTGTTATAGGGTATGATTGGATTGTTATAGGGTATGATTGGATTGTTATAGGGTATGATTGGATTGTTATAGGGTATGATTGGATTGTTATAGGGTATGATTGGATTGTTATAGGGTATGATTGGATTGTTATAGGGTATGATTGGATTGTTATAGGGTATGATTGGATTGTTATAGGGTATGATTGGATTGTTATAGGGTATGATTGGATTGTTATAGGGTATGATTGGATTGTTATAGGGTATGATTGGATTGTTATAGGGTATGATTGGATTGTTATAGGGTATGATTGGATTGTTATAGGGTATGATTGGATTGTTATAGGGTATGATTGGATTGTTATAGGGTATGATTGGAATCTGGTAGGGTACGATTGGCTTGTTATAGGGTATGATTGGAATATGGTAGGGTATGATTGGAATATGGTAGGGTATGATTGGATTGTTATAGGGTATGATTGGATTGTTATAATGTATGATTGGATTGTTATAGGGTATGATTGGAATCTGGTAGGGTATGATTGGATTGTTATAGGGTATGATTGGATTGTTATAGGGTATGATTGGAATCTGGTAGTGTATGATTGGATAGTTATAGGGTATGACTGTAATCTTGTAGGGTATGATTGCATTGTTATAGGGTATGACTGGATTGTTATAGGTTATGCTTGGATTGTTATAGGGTATCATTGGAATCTGGTAGGGTACGATTGGCTTGTTATAGGGTATGGTAGGGTATGATTGCATTGTTATAGGGTATCATTGGAATCTGGTAGGTTATGATTGGATTGTTAATAGGGTATGATTGGATTGTTATAAGGTATGATTGGATTGTTATAGGGTATGATTGGATTCTGGTAGGGTATGATTGGATTGTTATAGGGTATGCTTGGATTGTTATAGGGTATGATTGGATTGTTATA